ACGTAGTTTGGGCGGGTAGACGTGTCGCAGCGTCGGGGTTTTTCTCTTCTCAATCGGGTGGTTACTGACGCCATCTCTCGGTGTGGCTTATTTGACTATCGGAGGAACTACGTCCATAGATGCACGCTGCGTGCGCGTTGCTTCGCATCCGCGACCCCGTCGACCGCACCGTATTCCCAGGCGTCGCCTGGTTACGTACTCTGGCGGCGAGAGAAGGGAGTCAGGGAGAGGCTTCGCCAAATAAACCACTCCACCAGGAGAGGATTTGGCGCGGCCGTCGTTCTATCGGATGCAAACGAGGAGAGTGTGCTGTATTTCCCCCGAGTAAAGTATTTAGTTTTACCACCTATTTTTTTTTTTTTTTTTTTGTATGTGTCTTTCCTTTTTGTAAACGGGCTCTGGGGATACGCAATCAGGAGGAATTCAAACCGGAACCGATAGTCGAATCAAAAACCGATAAAGAACGAATTTTTTTCGGTAACCGTAACTGGAAGGACCCGATATTAGATTTAGCGATAAACCAAAAACCGAAATTGGAAAAAAAAATAAAGTGCGCCGAACAGCCTGCTTCTAAGTAGCTCGAGCTTCAGGTAGCACTGCTGCTCTAGGGGGTAGCCTATGAAAACGCTACAACTGCCTATAATAGCGGCTCGGACCAATTGCATATTGACAAATAACATCAAGTAAGAGTAATCCCGAAAAGTCAGCTTGAAACGCCAAATACATTTGGTAGAGTAATGGACGATTGTTGAAGACTGCAGCACGAACTATTCCGATATACTTGTTGTAAAAAAGCGCCCAAATTAGGAAGAGCTGTAATGCCATAATAATAAACAATTTGATCATATCTGAAAAAGACTCAATTAAAAAAAAAGCCTGTAATTCAAATGCCCAGCTTTATGGCATATACGACACACGAAAATGAAACGCGTGTTTCTTGGTGTATGTTTCAGTTCTTGTTTTCGTAGTTTAAGTTCGGGTTTCATACGCGTCATGCTGCTAACTAGGAGTTTTGAATTTTAGCTTATATATATATAAAATCAAAGATAAATGTATCCCGTATATTATTACAGCGAATGACAAAATAAACGTTCACCAATCACCATTAAGGCCATGAAATTATTAGATTAACCTCCGGGTCAGCCGATTAATGCATTCATCGGTCAAAAGAGGACCCTTCTACGGCACGGGCACCATCTTAATCTCGCTGTCAAATATAAAGCATTGAAGCACTGAAGATGTACTTCGTCTCCTGCCGTGTTGTCCAAGTACTAACCTTTTCACGCCTAGATATACGTAAATACAGAACACCTAAGACCATCTAGCCTCAACGAACTTGGCGTCCTGCTGAAGAATATTCCTTAATTGTTAATGGTTCTGTGTTAGAACTGCTTCCCATGCTGCCTCTGGTAAGGGCCGGTGTGAGAAATCGGTAAAGGACTACGATACTTTTTCTTCTTTTCTCTCTGCAATCTTATATTTGATACAAATAAATGTTTCTAAGTACACGGTACACATTTGCGCTTTTCAAGTGATTAAATATGCTGGCAATTTTACGACAGAAATAAGGTGGATACATTTATTTCTTTGCATCTTTCTGCTTGTGCAATTAGCCCGTGGCATTGGAATATATACCAAAGAAAATAAAAATCAAATAAAATAGTCTCTTCATCAGTTATTATTCCGGCATCGCTAAACCTATTGGAATGCCCGCAATTCCGCTCGCAAAATGTATAATCTGATATTTATAATTTTGCAATTCTTTGCCAGTTTGATCATCCATTTTACCTAAGCCACAGACCTTCCGGTTGTCACCGAGAAACACCTATAAACATCCGTCAGTGTCAGAAATACAAAATCGGTTAAAACCGGAAAACACCGATTTAAGCAAATTTTTGTTCTAAGCGAGGACTGTTTTTGTTGAAACCCTCCCCTTTTTAGACGTTTGTTGGTCCCGTACCTAGAATCAAGCACCCTAGCTGTCAGTCCCGAATTAGTGGAATCACTGACCTTGAAGGACAGCCGCACGAGAGTTAGGTTAGCCGCTCACCACTGTATGATTGTCACAATGTCTGTTTCATTCAGGTCAGCGCTGCATGACAGTGTTCGAAACCATACTAAGAGTCAAGTTATCGGCTGAACCTTGCGAAAGAAGCAAGAGTAATAATTTAGCTTCCTCACGGCGGAAATAGTTTGCTTAAGAACAATGTAATTTCTGTCATTACACGGAGCACAAAAAGCTCCGGATGAATGCATTCAAAAGTACCCGGACTTTGAGCCGTGTTTGGACTCGTTGTTGGTGGTTTGCAAGTAGTGGCGCGTGTTAAGCGCGAAGCGTTATAATATTGTGTGCAAGTTGTAAAATAAATTTAAAGGAGCTGTGCAACGATATTCAATTGGAATGTTTTTCTCTCTACACGAGCTTACTGCCACACCTGGGACTCAAGGATACTCACACGCTACGCCATTGGCCAAGAAACTCCTTTGTTGCGGTGTTATTTCAAGGACAAAAGCGATCATTTTCATTCAATCCCTCCTTTGCAAAATTTGATGACGTAACTCGGGGATCGCAGTACACCCAAGTGACGATATTTGAATGCGGTTCATAGATTGGACCCGAGCATTGTGTGGGCACTCGACTTGGGCTCGTGACAATTGCTAGCTCGAGAAGCATTCGAGTTGTGACCCGTGTCCAACCGCTGCAACGACGACAACAGCCGAGCCATAACAATGTCTGTAACTCTGCGCGTGTCCTGCGCTTTGCCAACCCCAGCGCGTGGCTATGATCAACACTGGCGGCATACATAATCGGCTCCAGATCACGTGGCCGCTTGTTCTGGCTGCGAGTTGAGGGGGTGAACGCTGCTCGTTTTTCTTTAATTTTTTTTCTGGGTCTTCTATTGCGTGGGGTGAAAAACGAACACGTGTTTCATAGGTCATTAACGCTAGGGATTCGTCTTAAGCGGTATTTGTGCACAGTACAAAAATTGTTGCATCGCTCCTTTAAACACATAGTTTTGCATTAGTTTTGCTCACTGATCATCAGTTTTTTTCGTCCGCATGAAGCGAATCGCCAAAAACACCGAGCTTCGAAAAATACATAAACACCGACTAACACCCATCCATTTTCCTTATATATAAGCACCGGAAAATCTACGGCCTAACTATACCCATGAGCCGATACGATGACATCTCACCATTTAATCGCTTAAAGATATACATAATCGGTGCTCAATCGACAAAGAACCCCGCTACAACAGACGCCAACAACCTTCTCACTGTTCAGAACAGACGACATAAGAACAAGATATTCACTCTCATGTAAGGGTGCTGGACAGTGGATAGTCTTCCTAGAGTGAACAACAAATAAGGACACTAGAATGTCGAAATATTTCATAGATCACTACGAATCTTTAAAAAGCTTACAGCTGCGTATAAAGCAACTCAGATGATGACCTTTGTGTGAACAATTTTTAAAGAAAGCAACGTTCACCGTCATCTGTTTGCTATACGCGGCAATGGTATTATTTTTCGCTCCCTGTTTCACAAATGTAATGGGGCGAGCGAACCCAAAAGCGTAATAGAAAGGCAGCCGAGGCGGGGTTGTTTCTTACTTATATTACACCCCGCAAGTAAATAACAGAACAAGATCGGTGGACTGGATTCAGTCTACTTGTTCCCTAGCCCCGAACAAGGTCTTGGATACCTCTTATAATTTATCACGACGCGCGAGGAAGCAATATCGATGAGTTTAAACTTTCGTATTTCGGAAAGTCTCGTATATTGTGCATTGCATCGAATCTATTGAAATAGATCCGCAAACATCAATTTCCTAAGGGACCTGCAAAGCCGTAATTTACTCAAAAGATGCGACTTGAATGTGTGTGAGTAGTTTGCAAATATTCAAGAATTGCTAGCGAGGAAAGCATTTCCCTATTAGGGAAGCAATTTAATCAAAAGAAGAAGTCTCTATCGGTCATTGGTGCATTTCCTTTGGCAGCATAAAAACAATATACAATTGAAAATTATCTTCCATCACCTCTCGAAAAATATTTAATGAGTCGACCTTGTTTTTTCTACGCTTTTTCAATGGCTGCATTTCTATAAAATTCAGCCGTTTTTTCATAAATAATCGCGAGACAGAATTAGATATTTTAAGTAAATTTAATTAATTCGGCTTTTGGTGTATCGATGTAGAGGGTTGTCTGTGTAGTTTACAATTTGAGCCGCACCATTTGTCTATAGCCCAAGAATCTTAGTAAAACGTACTAGTAAATAAAGACCAGTTCTAATATACTACATAAATATATTTCCTAACGACCAACTTTGGCTATTCTGGAGCAACTTTCTAATGGCCTTTTTTCAATGTTTTACTCGAACAGAAATAAACCAGATTTTGTGGGGGCTTGTACCAATCACCGATATTCGAAAACCGGAATAACGAAACAAAACCGATGTCAAAATATAACGGTAACCATATAACCGTAACCGAACCGTTCTATGTTTCGGTGCGAGTCCCTGCACACAGCCTCACCTGCAACGCGCAATGAATACAACGCTCCATGGATAGTAAATAAAACGTCCCAATAGTCTACAGGATGAGGTAAAGGCACGTCCCATGCGCGTTGGACATACAGTGCACCGTGCGTATAGTATTCACCAAATTCGCAAACGTCCTGAGACGAAGTCATTCTGATTTGACGCACGAGCAAAACGTACGCAATGTCATTAAGTCATCCACATGTTGATCACGGCGTGGTACGGCCCTTCAGTCGCCCTCCACCTCTCCCTCGAGGCTCAAACGCGCATCCTTGGCCGCACCCTATTGTACGCACTCAAGATGCGTCACAGCCTCAATACTACAGCTATAACAATCTTCAAAGTCGCGCGCGCGCGCGCGCGGCACCGAAAGAGGAAAAGAGACAGATGCACGGCAATCAAGGCCGGGCGGCAATAAAGCACGCGGGTCGTGTCAACAAAGATTCCAAGTTGACGCTCACCTGGCGGAGCAAATTCCTGAGAGCTGCCTTCCTTCGGGGGGCCGGCATGAGCGGAATGGAACCGGGAAGGGACCAGGAGTGAGCCAAGGGGTCGTGGCGGAATCCGGACCAGCGACTATCGCGGAAGCTTTATTGAGCCCGGTGTCCAGGCGGCGGCGCCAGGCACAGGCGTCTCCTTATCACGTCACGTTTCTCCAGCCTTGTCGGCCCGCTTGCAGCACCGAGCGAGCGAGCCCTCCCCCGCGCTATCGGCGCAGCAGTGTTGAGCAATCGATATCTCGCAGTCACGTGAGCGCGCCTCGTGCACCGCGGCTATTTTTGAATGCGCAGCATCCGAGCGATTGGCCCAGGGGCGACCGGAGGGCGTCCCTCGCGCAAAACAGTGCGGAACGTTTCCTGCCGATAGAAAACAGCTGAGGCTAGACGGCGCCGTCTCAAAACATCGTGTTGTACACCGGCGGGAAGGAATTCCGCGGCTGGCTTGCGCGCACGTGACGAAAGCGACGTTCGGAGCTGCGCGCGACGCTAGATTATTGGGACCCCGGACGAGAGTTTCACACAGTGCGCAACACTGTTAGCGCGAACAGGAAATGCGGGGAAAATCAGCTTTAACATATATGCATAGGGAAGGACGAAAACAGGAAATAAGGAAGGTACATAGGTATGATAATTCCCGGGGGAGTTAGTTGTCAATCGAGGCTAGAACAGGGGTATTGAAAACTAGGATATATAGAACGAAGAATGATGAAAAGGATACGCGGTGAGCCGTATGCTCACCACGTATCACCTTCCCGGGGCGTGACGTCATACTAGGAGTTTTCGAAATCCCTGCTCTCACGAATCTTCAGCGCCTGTCAAAGTTATGCACGTGCACTCTCGCTATTTTCAAAGATGTCAGAAATAGACGTAAAATATGTCAGAAATGAGTATTTATGTGAAACCGTAAACAGAGATAAAGTAGTTATTTTCAGTTTCTGCATGAACATAATGTTTCTTAAAATTTGATTTTATGCATACCTGTACAGTCAAAACAGAAAAACGAGGTAAATCATAATTAAAAGAGTAACGCAAAAGTAACGTGCGTTACCTCTTATCGGTAGCGGTAACGCGTTCCTTTTATTTTGAGTTAACGTATGTCGGTAACGCGTCCCTTTTATTTGCAAGTAACGAATAACGCATCTCGTTACTTTTTTTTCGGTAATGCCTACAACACAGACGTTCTGTCGCCGATATTCTTCCGTCTGATAGCGCGGGCGTAGCAAGCCACCGACGAGCGCTAGGTCGGTACTTTGCGCTCGAACACCGAGGGAACAAAATCCCGGTGGTCTCAGTCAGACGACGGTTTTCCTGCACATAAGCAAGCCTCGGGACGGAGATTGAAATGGAAGCCACACTCGCCCTCAAGAAAGTGCTTGCCGCACGAGCGATCGTCCGCGCGAGGCGACCATTATTTTCGGTGCACGGATATTATCCACCTTCTGCGCCTTTCCGAGTCAGCCGGGAATTTGGCGAAACTCACCCCGCTACTTTTGCTGTACCTTTCGGTGCAATTAACGGCTTCACAGCTTTGCGGCATGCTGAAACGCTATGACGCCCGTTCAAAACGTGCGCCCTTTTGCCCACACCACCCGGGTAGGGCGCGATCGCAGCGCCGCCGCAGCTCCATGACGTCAAGCTCGCGTGTGGGTCTATACATTCTACCACTGCGCCAATCACCTCAGTGAGTATTTTCTGTTTCTTGCAGCGCCAATCAGGTATAGGCGCAAGCTAGCGGGCTTTGTCTTGCCGTGGTGTCGACTTAATGTTCGAACGCCGGCGTTCGGAGTTACGGCGTTCGGTGTTCGCGTTCGAACGGTTTATGAGAACTAACGAAAAATCCAAGACGTAACCACCATCGCATAAAAAAAGACAGTTTGAGGGGGGGGGGGGGGGGGGGATGTTACGTAACCAAAGAAAAACAAAACTGTACCAGAAACCCCGAAGAATGACGCGGAAACACATTCAGTGGATACCGGCTTTGTTCGTAAAGTCAAGTTAAATTAAGCTGTTTTTTTTTTTTTTTTTCGTCTTTTGTTTACATTTCGTTGCTGTAAAGTGGAAAGCGTCCTTTCTTGGTGAGATCGAGGTTAACACAAATTCCGTGAACTTTATTAGGAGTTCACCGATCCACGAAACAGGTGTCCCATATAAAAAAATTTCTAAATTCCGTTTTTTTTTTGTTTGTTTTTTTACAGCGATATTACAGCGATAGCTGTTATGGGACAGTTCGCGGTCTCGCGCCGTCGACCGCGCTCCATATCGACGCGGGCCCACTTTGGGCACTCCGCCAAAACATTCCGCGGGCCGCTGATAACAAGCAAGCAAGATAACAGATATAACATGCATGGTCATGCATGGTAGCAAGATAACATGCATGGTCAGAGAAACAGTCCCCGCCGGGTAATCTGGCAGTGCACTGGGATATGTGCCCATGTGACCCAAAATTAGCACAAACAACAACTCTCGGGAGATACGCAGATAAAATAAAACTGCCTTAGAATTTTACGATGCATTCTGTATCAGAAAGCAAGTGCGTTAGTGCCCCGTCATTGCACATCACAGATACAGAGTTTTATTTTCTAAACGAATAGCCAGAAAGATGGTATTATAGTGTGTTTGTTTCAATAAACCTTCATTTGAGAGTGCACTTTGTCTTGTCTACTTCCTTGTTCCTTATTCGGCGCTTGTCGTTTAGCACGTGTGACTGTTTGTACCGGAGTGACGTACGAAAACACGCTCCCTTTTTACGCAGACAGCTGAGATGCTCCCTACTTAACGCTACAGCACGACCTTTTATTTTTACATGAAATTATTTAGGAGTGCTTGTACTATAAGACTTGATTTTACAAATTATTAAAAAAAAGCTTATGAAATGTTTCAACTCAAAAACAAAGAAATACTTCATGTATTATATCTGATACACGATGCATTGGTGCCTCATGGGTTGTCAATGCGGCGAAGGCAGTTTTTGCCTTTGTTCGAGCACAGCGCAACAGTAAATTACTCACAGTTTTCAAACATCACAGCCTGGAAGTTGGACTCTTCCAAAAATGTCGCCCATGTCAGTAAGCCGTGCATTTGAGCGCCGGGAAGCCAAATGGCTCTCTTTGGAGGAGTATTTTTGAGACAGGTGGCACAAAACATGTATCGGATGGATACAGCACGCGTTCGCGTTGCCTTTCTGCTCCGATTTCTTGGAAGCCGCTTTTTATAGGACTGTATCACATCAGATGCACCATGCATTAAGGATTAATACACCCTCATTGGTTCCAAAACGCTATGAAATTTTCATCCAGTGTGTTACTCGGTTTAATACGAAACGCCTATGCGGACTCTATGGTGCGCGCTCGCACCTTTACCGTTCTTTAGTCCAGGGGTCTCCAAACGTTTTCGCTAAGGGGCCGGGTCAAGGATCTGTCGTTGTCTCAAGTGCCGGAAAAAAAATGTACATAAAAAAAACTAAATAAATAACTCTAAGTAAGCATCATTAAGTTAAAAAAAAATTAAAGTTAGAGTAAAAATGTAGTATTTAGCTAAGAACTATGACATTTCACAATAATGGGAACCCAGAAAACTCACCAGGCATAGATCAAACAGCATATGAACTTTTGCATGTTCAAACAAGACAGAAATCTAGTGATAATGATATAACTGATGCTCACAATATCCAATAGATACGACGCAGGATACTGAGCACAACATACTGTAAACGACTAAATTTTCGCGAGGACCTAATTTTCGCGAATTTCGTGAATCGCCCACAATTCGGGGAAAATAGGTACCGCGAACAATTCCGGTAAAATGTAAACACAGTGAAATCTATATTGAGATCCCACGACGTCGCGAAAATTAGAACCCGCGTAGTGTTCCAAAACTTCAGCTTTGACCTAGATCGCGAAATGCTGAGCCCGCGAAAAATAAGTCCTTTACAGTACATGAGAACGGATATGAATTTTAACTAACGAAGTTACAGAGATATGAACAGGGACTAAGAATGATGATCTGGTGAGTAATGACCAGAGGACGCCTTACAATAGGCAGTTTTCTCTCGTTTTTTTTTTTTTTTTTTTTTTTTTTTTTGACAGGGTTGGGCAGTATCGTTATACAAATGTATCGGGATTGTATTTTAAAAACACTATGGAGTATCTATCTTTGTATCGAGATACTTAGAAAAATGTATTTGTATTTCGCTGGTGAAATACATTTGCGATGTACCGCTTGGATGGCGATACTCTGCCAGGCTTGGAAATCTCGTTACAGTTGTCGAAAAGTAACTGTCGGTTTTCTAAGATTAACTGAACGTTACCTTTTTGATGCAAGAATTTGTGATATGCATTAGCCGCACAACCCCATTTACAGGGGGGAAGCCTAGTTGTTTTGTATATATTATAGTCACCAAAATTAAAAGAAAAACAAAGAAAAAAAAAGGTGGTTTGAAGAACGGTCGCTTGCAAGAATAGCAGGATAAGCTGCTCTCAGAACCCTGTTTTGCCGTGAAAATGCGTCTCAAATTGAGACACACGTTCCCGGCAAAGCAGGATTCAATTTGGGCAGACGCCTTTTCTCAAGCATGGCAAGTTGTTGATGGTCTCGACTTCCCAGGACCTGTGTGGGTCACTGGGGGCAAGTGAATTTGGAAATACAAGTCCTGCCATTTCCATTCGCCACGAACTGCACCCTCTGCACCTACCACTGTTCGGGAAAAAATATTTATGTCTCTGTATCTGTATTCTGGAATATATTTTTGACGTTGTTCTGCCAAAACGCACTGAAAAAAAAAAAGAAAAGAAAAAGGTCTAGTTTTACTCTTTTTTTCTCATATAATACATCCCAAAACTTCAGTCCGATGCACAGCGTACTGGCGTCAAACTGACGACCCCAACTTTTACGAGGGGCTTGATAACGGGGCGATTTAACTTATTAAACAGCTAAAATAAGTATTAAATACTACAGAAAAAAAAACCTGAGATTTTGCAGTAGGTCCAAGAAAATCCCGATTATTATTACTTTCGTTTTTGTAGACAGTAGCACGTACAGTGCGCCTCAAACTTAACGCCGCCACGAGATGGTTCGGTTTCTTCACTTTTTGAGCTATTCCTAAACATAGCAGTCAAAATGGTTGGTGAAGATTTGCGTCCCCGATGAAAACTTAACCAGCGGAAGGTATTCCAGCAGCTGCAGCGATCAATCCATGTTTGGGTAGCATGCAATAAAATAGAATGTATCAATATTTGCGAAACCGAGTGGCGGCGTTAAGTTTGAGGGGCACTGTACATTAGCTATTTTAATAAGCCGCTAATGAAAGTTGGTACCGTCGGTTCAATGTCAGTCCGTTCTACGTCGAACTGAAGTTTTGGGGTGCCGTATATGGGACCACTGAAGTGCAAAAATATATATTTTTTTTTTCTGAGAGCGTATCTCAGTGATACCCCGTAACATAAAAGGAAATGTATCTGAGCATCTGTATCTTGGCTCTAACATAAATGTATATCGGTATTTGTATTCCGGAATACTTTTTTTTTCTTTTTTTAGTATAACTGACCAGCCCTGTTTTC